CCAACATCAAATGCTGCATATGTCCCCCCACTTTCATATTCTCTCTCCCTTTCTCTGTCTCTTCTAATTCTCTATCTTGTTTTTTTTTAGAACAATTAATCAGCCTCTAATGTTTGAATAGAAACTAAAGGCAAAAACTATACAGAATGTTGTACTTTTATGCCCACATTTATTTATTTATTTATTATATTTATATCGCCGCCCAACTCAAACAATGTGACTCTGAGTGGCGTACAAAATCATGAAAAAAAAATACCAAAAAAAATACCCCTATCACTAAAGCAAACTAAAACAATTAAATGATGAGCAGGACTAAAATATAGCATAACTCACCAAATGGGAACTCTACTCATCCTGACCCAAGTGCCTGGGAAAAGAGCGGGGCCTTGACTGCCTTTCTAAAGGCCTCCAGAGTTTAAACTTTTCTTAAACAGAGTTTCAGTTTGAATGACGCACACATCTCATCTTGAATTAAACTTGTGTCTTACCATCCTTTGAAGCATAATTATCTTGGGACCGAGATTCCTGCTTACTGTGAAAATATGGATTAATCTTAGAGTAAAAATAATGTAATCCAGACAAAAAATTACTCTGCCAGAATACCAAGATGTTTCATTTGAAGAGTGGAGCCTGTGAAAAGAAGAGATACACATTAGTAGAAAACTCCATTCTCAACTTATCTAGTTTCCATAGTTCTCTCTCAAATACTATATTTATTTTTTTGTTACTGTCACTAAATAGTCCACTAAATAGTTTAAACTGAGAGATAAAATTGTCTCTTAGTGCTTCCATATACTAAATTTTCAATTATTATCAACTTTATTTGGATTGTCTGTTTCCACAGTGTGATATTTTCTTTGTAAGAAGATTCAAGTTTTAATTTTGGGTGCCTTTATTTCCAGCTTCGTAAGTATACTCTGTAAAACAAGGCTGAGCATTTTGGGGGTAGATAACCTTAGCCCAACCTTTAATATTTGGGGGGGAGGATTGCAATTAGTGGAGTGCTCCAAATTGGGTGGAAGTGCAATACAAACCAGGGAGGAGGGAAATTATTTTGTTCCCAGCTTTTGGGAATAGGATTTTTGTTTTTTAACGTGTTAATCCAATTTTAGGGCTTACATTACAAATTCATGTATTTCTACCTCACAATAGTAAAAATGGTGCCACAGGACTATCAGAGGAGCTTGGGCGCCACAAAAAAGCTGTTGGGAGAGGTGGAAATTGCTCATTATTCTCTTGAAGTCACTGTTTACAAGAATCTGTATTCCAATTTGTCAAAATGTTTGTTTCTTATTTAGCAGATTTATATGGTGTTCATTCTCAGTGACTGTAGATGAACATGCCTGCCACAGAAAGCTTATCCTCAGACAATTAAGAAGAGCCAGGGAAGAGACTAGCAGCAGAAACAAATTGGCTCTTGGTTTCAGAATAGCTGCAGCTCCAGATTTCAATCAATACTCCTCTGAGCACTCTCCAAATCTGTTGGAGCAATGATAAAAGTGGGTCAAGAGCCAGAGGGCTGAGGGATGCAGAAGCAGATGAATGCAGGGAAAGATTTCTTGGGAATAATGATCTACTTGAAAATTGTTGTAGGTCCCAAACTAGAACAACATTCTAAACTGAGAAAATGAAAAACATCTGAATTAGGACAATGGCTGAAAACCTGGTTATAAAGCCTACCAGTCACAGATGATTAAGTGTTGGAAGCAATATATTCACCTTGTACTTACTCTAAGATTAATTATTTGGATCTAAATAGAGTTTGGACCCTGTCTCTACTCCTTTCTTGTACATCTGGTGCCTAGAACTTTCTTGCTACTTTGGCAGACTTCTAGATCTCATTTCTGCTTCATCCTGGTCACCCACTCTTTGGCTAAAAGGAAAATCCAGACTTAGCAATTCCTATTTATCCTACTTTTCTGTGATGAATTATGAAGGCCAGGCTCAGGGATATAAGCATTTTCTTAGCTCGCCAGAGGAGCATGGGAAATACAAGAGGATGAGACTGGCACCTCCCT